AAACACTGATTTTTGGTCATTTTCAAAGGCCTCCCTACAGGTCCATAGGGGATTTAGGGGGTCGAGGGAGGGTTTATTAAAAAGTTCGATCCTTCCTCTTTCCAATAAGGGGKCGGGAGTGGGGATAGCCCGACCCTGTTTTTCTCCATAAACGATATTTAACCGGCGCGATACTAAATATTCCCCCTTTTTTGAGTTATGCAATATTACAAAAATAAAATTGTGCCGATATTGAAGATTTTATAAAAACAACAAGAAATTGATAAACAACAATAACAACTTGCAAGCGGTTTCGAGTGCGTGCAAAATCTTATAAAGCTACATATGTATGTACTTACATATGTACGTACAACTAATTGAACCGCTACTGCTTAGTGATTTAAACTTGTAATATTCCTCGCAAAATTTGTGCTTATGTGTGAGTGTATGTGTGAAAATACGCGTATTCTATTTATTGTGAAAACGTGAAGCTTGTGGCAAAATAAGAAGCGAGTGAAAAATTGTTTCTTTAATAAATGCAATTATATAATATGGATTGTACTGGCCGTCGTTCGAATCAAAGTGAACGTGATCCAGATTTAGGCGAAGATTTGGTAAGTGGCGCAACCAAATACTATGAAAATCCTTTGTTAGATGGTGTGAACTGTGTTTGTGTGTAGTAATTTTTAGAATAACAAGAAAATATGTGCGTTGTCATCAGCTGCACCGAGGCTGTATACACTTCACGGGTACATTTCTTAGAGTATAAAAGGGCATAAAGAGATTTGTATCCTGATTGTGATCGATCAGTGTGTATAGCAGCTATATTCAGTTTCTTGCGGAGAAAAAGGAGAACGATCTCAAAAACTGAGTTTTTGTTCGCGTTCCTAAATTGACGAAGCTCTTGACATTTATAAACATTACGCGGTCTCAGACGTTTTCTTCTAGGTTTTACAGACCTCGTGGCAAACTTAATATAACCTGTTGAGAGTACAAAAGTAATGAAAACGAATAATTTCGTAGCTATAAATGAACAATACCTAAATTCAGTCATACAACAAGTAGTTATTTAGGGTTTTAGTATCGAAAATATTTTTTTTTTATTGCTTGGTCTTTTCACGAAAGTCTTGTTTCCAAGAAACAATTGATACTGACTAGATTGAGGATATAAATATGTAGAATCAGGGAACAATGTTCTGTAGTTCAAGAATTCTTGATATTATTTCTTATTCAGATACATTCAAGCTTGATTATATTCAATTATAGCTTTGTTCTGACTAAGGTAAACGATAACAAATACGTCCTAACATGTTTTATCAGTCACTTTATACAAGCACCCATTTCTTTTTGATTTTGTATCCCTCTGACAAAAGCTCATAGCTTTCACAATTTGTCTGATATATGCTGATGTTCTTTCAATTGCTCCGAATTTACGGCAAATCTCCCCTTAGATGAAGTTGAGAATCATTGAGAATCGAAGAGAGTAGTGTTAGAGATCGTTGAAACTATTTGTTTTAGATAGTGAAATTTGTTATTTAGGTAAAAGATAATTCCACCGCGATAAAGGAAAGATTGTTTGCGAGATCTCGAAACCTTGTATCGGTTAAGCGTAATCTAGTCTTTAAATTTCGTAATAATAATAGTTTTTGTTATCATTCAAATTTGTATGTGCCTTAAAAATTTATTGTTTTTAAAAAATCCTTAAAAACCGTAAACATTTATAAATAGATGAAAAAATTGTAGCATTGTCTGATCAAATATGACCCGAACTGGTGATATATTAATTTTTAGTATTATTATTAACTTACTTGATTTTCATATAATTTATAATTTATTTTTCTATACATCACATGTATGGCAGTTGTTCATTACTGCTTGGAGAGTTGAGACAGGAATAGCCGCAATTGCTTCTCGAATGAATTGTCTTATTTCATTCAAATTTGTTGGTTTTGCTTTGTAGAGTTTCTGTTTGCAATAACCCTACAAGAAAAAATCAGGTGCAGTAAGGTCAGGCGACCTGGGTGGCCAACGGAATGTGGAGTTTCTGGATATCAGCTTATTGGGAAATTTTCGTCGCAATTCTGTCATAACAGGTTGGGCTATGTGAGAAGCTGCACCATCTTGCTGAAACCACACAGAGTTGAAAGAAATTCTTATTCGGCGTAATTCTGGATAGAAAAACTCTCTTAACAAGTAACAGTCTCCAGTAACCGTAGCGGTTTGACCGTTTTCTTCGAAGAAGTAGGGCCCGACAATGCAGCGTGATGAAACTGCACACGACACTGTGACACGAAGTCTCATGCGAGTATCTGTGGGTTGGAAGCACTCCATATTCGACAATTTTATTTGTTTATGTTGCCGTTTAAATCGAAATGGGCCTCGTCAGACATGAAAAGACAGTTCAACATGTTTCCATCCTCTGCTAGCATTTGAAGCATCTTCTGGCAAATTCCAAGCGAATCGGCAAGTCTGCAGCGTTCAGTTTGTTGGCCATTTGAATTTTATATGGGAATAAGTCCAATTCTTTCTGCATAATTGACTTTAATGACTGTCTGTTTACACCCATTTGAGCAGATAAGCTTCTTGTCGAAACACGTGGATTGTTTTGTATGGCAGCAGCTACAGCAGCGATTGTTTCCTCCGTTCGAACTGAAGAGTTTCGATGGTAAGGTCTTCTGTTGACTGTCCCATGCTCGGCAAAATTGTTTACAAGTCTCATTATGGTCCATCCGCTCGGATGATTGCCGCCAAACGTGCGCCTATACTCTCTTTGAACCGAAACTACGGACTCCAGTGCGTGATAGCGGCGAACAATCCAAATTCTTGTTTCAGTGTCCAAGTTATCCATTTTTGTTAAATAAAAAAGTCAATCTGCAAAATAAAAAAAAAATTAACCAGATTCATTAAATAGAAAAAAAGTTATTTAATTTTTTTTTKKTAGCGGCTTTCATCAGCCACCCTGTATGTATTTACAAAATGCCATGTCTGAACGCAGTTCAATACAAATTTCATACAAACACACTCATACGCAAATCTATTCCGTGTCTGTACTACAAATACTGCTAAAACATAATGGGTGTTCCAAAAGCACCACTAAGCAAACAAATCCATACAAATCCTATGAAGTTTTATTCGAGAATTTATAAGTACATAAGTCTTAACACTACTATACATACATATAGAAGTATATTATGTTATAATTTTTGCAGCACCTCGTTTTGAAACACCCTGCATACAATATTTATTTATTTTATTTTGTTTATATAAAAGTAAGCTTTATGACCTCGTCGAATACAACAATTTAATGTTCAAATTAATAAGAAAAAGGTTTTTATAGCAAGCAAGCAATGATTTTAATAATCAGCTTACGGGTAATAGATTTGTGTTCAATCATTAATTTGATTAAATGTTAATGCATAAATCAAAATGCTTATGTCATGAAGAGCCAATATAAAATTTATATTTGTGAGTGTTCGTTTGTTTGTTGTTCAACCACTTTTGATTAGTTTTAAGGGGTTTTTGTAAATTCCGGCTTTTGATTTATCATTTGATAATTATTTTAGAAAGAAAAATATGAATTATTATACAAAAANAAAAAAAAAAAAAAAATATAAGAAAAAAATTAATTTTTATATCAAAAACAGACTACATTTGTTGAAAAGTATTTTAATGGCCAAACTGGTCCATCAGTTAAAAATATTTTTGGCTGTCGTTCGTTCGGGCTTACTTCTGAACCTTTTGACACAAAACTGTAGATTCTGCGGGCGCAAAGAAAATCCACAAATTATTCATGAACAATCATTAGATTCCCTTAAATTGACAGTTTGGTGTGGCTTTCGGTGTGTTGAAATCATCGGTCCGTACTTTCGAAATGAAGTTCGTGACACTGCTACTGTCAATGGAGAGCTGTATGCATCGATGATAGCCAATTTTGTATGGGCTTTATTGAAAAAATTCTTGTGGGGTTATTTGAAGTCATTGGTCTTTAGCAATAAACCAGATTCTTTTCAACCTTTAGAAGTCAATATTGAACGTGCTATTCATGACATACATACATACATATGTATGACTTGATTTAATGGAAAGTACTTGAAAATGGAGTTTATCGAATTCGGAAAGAAGTCGTGGAGGATAATTTAAATAATGCTATATATAATTTTTGTACTTCACTTATTATACTTTAAACAGAACACCATGAATAGTTCCTCCACAATTCCGGTGGTTTCGATGGATGTTTTCACGCACACGCCTCAATGCGGCCAAATAGAACTTCTTATTGATCATCTGTACCTCCGGAACAAGTTCTTCATACACCAAACCACGAATATCGAAAACAAACAATGAACACCTTCTTKATTTTTGAGCGACTTTGGCGGTGTTTTTTTTTTTTTTTTTTTTTTAGTTTCAATTCGTTGTTCCCCTCTCCACCTATTTTTCATTGGCAGTTTAATGCTCTCCAAGAATGTTGGATCAGAATTCGCATGATCAAGTGTGTTCAAAGAGACCTGTTTACGCTATTCTTTAAAAAAAAAATACAGCTTTATCTGGAGGAGTCCAGCAAGAACGCGTTTCATACCCAAAATATACACCACAATAATTTTTAGTATTTTCATCAGTGGATGAGGTCGAATGTCGTCCAGAATGAGGCATGTCTTCAATGACCTCACCACCTTGAAGGCTACCACTCGTCATAAAAATGACGATCAAATCCTTGTATAAGGTGTTGATAATTATTAAATGACGCAGAAACATCTTCACTTAAAAAACAAACCCCGTCAACTCATCTGATGTCCATATGAACTTAGAAACAAGCTGCCGCGCATCATAATATTTCAACTTAAATAAAACTTGACTCACTAACGTTTTATTGAGAAGCATGCAATCAGCTGAAAATAAGCAATAAATAATAATATCAATAAACTATATAACAGGCATTTTTGGCGTCGGTGTGAATTATGACGATAAATAAATTCAATTAACTTTTCTCATTAATTTCGATTTGCTGGTGGGGCAAGTGTTGGGCTATAAAACGAAAACACGTCAACGGATTCGAAATGTACTTATGTACACAGTTATATAGTCGCATTTATGTAAATAATTCGGTGTATGTAATATTTGTCCACACACACATATTTATATTCAATTAAAGCACGCCAATGACTAAGTGCTGCTCGCTGCGAAGTCATAAAAAAACCGTCCACAGCGGCGCGCAGGTAAATGTGAGAAATCAAAAACTCGTCATATTATTAAGTCAATATCGAAAAATGAAATTACACACACACACACACGCGCATACACTTGCAGGTGCGTGAATATATTTGTTCGCATGTAAATAAACCGTTGTTGGAATACAATGCCTTCAGTGTGATGCCGACAACAATGAATTATATTTTTTCAGTTGCTCGAAGAGTTTGTGATATCAACAGAGCAAAGCGCTGATGAGGAGCTGCTTTTTGCTCGCCACCTCTTGCTGCAGGGGTAAGGGGTAGCAGTGGAGTCTGCGCGGCAGCCAAGTTCACAAAGCGTTGCATGCTGTGGGACCTGCTTGGTGTCAATTTGACTGTGCCTTCCTGTCACACGGCACAACAACGGTGCTTCGCTTTATGTGCGTCTG